CGGCACCAGGAGTACCTGAAGATGCTGAGCGAGAGGGAGGAGGCGCTCGGTAGGTGCTGGGCCCTCGGTGGTGGGGGGTGGGTACCCGCGGTCCGACACCCGTGGCTGGGGAATGAGAGCAGGAGTGCTTGCGCATTGTCCCACAGCATCAACTCCTTGCTCCTCTCATGTTCCCCCTGGGCAGCGATCTGAGTAGTGACCCCTGCAGCCCTCTGGCCCTGGTGGGGCAAGGGATTGGGGGGTGCACAGAAAGGACCAAGCAAGAAGACATTTCCAGGGTGCTACCAGGCCCTGTGCTGGGAGAAGAACTTTGTCCTTTATGCCTGTAGTGCTGGTGTTCCAGCCCTTCCATCCCTTTCACGCTGCATGCAAAGGCTTGGTCTGCCCTCTCAGCATGGCACTGCAGGGACAAGCAAATGTATCTTGCAGAAGATGGGGTGCTTTGCAGTGCGGGATTTTTTGTCTCCCCAGATGAGGCTGATGAACTGGAGCACTTGGTGACATCACGCACAGAGTCTGTGAACATCGACCACCCAAACCACGTTGTGACAGTGACCACCATCAGTGACCTGGACCTCTCAGGAGCACGCCAGCTGGGACTGACCACCCCTGTGGTAAAGCCTTTTGCTGCCTCACTGGTTGTATCAGCTGTAAATGCTCTTGGGGCTGGCTAGGTAGGGCTGGTAGTCCCTGAATATGGCCAAGGATTTGCAGGTGGCTGGGAGCAGGGATGAAAAGGGAAACTCATCACTTCCGCGTTTTTCCACAGCTTATGTTGGGTCTCTAAAATAGGAGGAACGTCCTATGGGAACAGGTCATTCCAAACCTCCCTGGACTCCTTTGCTAGTCCCAGCTGACCTTGTGTAAGTGAAAGCTGTCGCAGGGCTGGAGGTGAGAATGTAGTCTTTTAAAAGCCAATAGAGTATGAGCAGCAAGATTTCAGGCTTTGCTGTATGACTGCCTTCCACCTCTTTCATGTATCCTGTCCAGGAAAAATTGCTGTTATCATGAGCAGGTCCTCTGCTTGGACCACAATTAAGAAAACCATTAATTTCTGGATGTTTTTGCTTTTATTTTCAAAACGTATTGTAACTGAGATCTCATATTTGTTCCAGAAAGGCTTTCAGGCACTAGTTCGTTTGATCCTTTTGGTCTTCCTGACTGAGCTCTTTGGGGAAGTGCCTGCGTTAACCTTTTACATTTGTGAGGGCATCTTATAATCTAAAAATCCACTTAAAGAGGCTTTGATAGTAATTTAAGAAAAAAGCTGAAACCTTCAGTTCAGAGTTTAGACTCCAACTGCACGGCTAGTAAGATCATGCTGAAGTTTTGGGATCTTAGGGTGGATTACTGCAGGACTTCACTGGTTGTCCCTTTCCGAGTCGCTATGATAAGAAACCTTGAGATTTGGACAGCAAGGGATGTGGAGAATTAAACAATCAAATTTCACCTGTGATTAGATGGTTTACAGAACAGGATGAAACCAAGAAGGCAGCAGAAATACCAGCATCACAAAACTGCTTGTTTTAATGTGTCTGTAGGGAGTTGATTTTTTTTTTTTTCCCTTCCTTTTTAAGGGCAAGAGTGATGGATCAGAAGAAGAGAAAGGAGAAGAGGTGGTGAACAAGCCTGTAAAAGCAATGCCCAAGAAGTCCAGAAACCCCTTCCTGTCTGAAAAGTATGTATAGATTGATTCCAGCAGCTTGCTTCTAGGCTCTCCAAGCTGCTCAGGAGGATCTTTCCTTCCCGGGTCAGCCGTGTGGTTGCAGGAGAGGGGATGCTGTGCTGCTGGATGCCGGTGGGCAGGAGCCAGCAGAGGGCACTGGCAGAGCACAAGCCTGTCTCGGAAGCTCCATTCCACTGGCATTGATCCCTGGTGACAGCAGCAGCAGGAGGAGGAGGATACAGAGCAGTGCGGGCTTTGTCCTCAAGTGTTTACCTAGCCCTTCCTCTCGGGAGATACTGCAGGGAAGGGAGTATGGCAGGGTGCAGAATTTGTCTCTAGGACTGAAGGTCAAAAAACCCTAAAGCTTAAAGCTTTGGCATTCACCACTTTTTTCAGTGTCCAGGATTTACAACTACTTCAGGAATGCAGAGAATTACTTAACCCTGTGGTGGCTGGGCAGCTCACTGCTCAGAAAATTCATTGTGGTTATTACTGCACACATAGACTTGCAGGTTTCATGCCCTGCCAGGATAGTGCCCAGCAGAGTTCCTCTGGAGCTCACCGTGGCTAATGTCTATTCCCGCTGCGCCACCAGCAGCTCTTCCGCATTTGTTGCGGCATCGCCTTGCTTCTGCAGACCTTGGTCCCCAAGCATTTCTCTCTTCATGCCTTGCACAGGATCTCTGCTCTTACTGCCACACTGCACATGCACAGCCGGAAAAAGACAAAAGGAAAGAGACTCCAACGTGGACAAGGCCCACGCAAGAAAATCCAGAAATCCACCTCGGGGCGGACCACTAAGACTCAGCGGCGGAGGCTGACGGGCAAAATGGGCCGTGATCAAGATTAATGGAGGAATTAGTGCTCAGCCCAGCAGCTGGGACAGTGCTCCATGGCTGGTCGGCTGCTTTTTGGGACTCCTTCACTGTGGGCAAGGGCCTTGTTGACTTGGTTCTCTGACCACCAGTGAGCCCAGGTCAGCCTTCCTCTCCCCTCCTGAGCACTGTTCAGGATCACTATAGACACTCTACCCACGTATTTCTGCAGCAAACTCCAGCTACGAAGTGCCTGGGTGTCACAGAGTCTCTAAAAACTTCTGCTGGGATCACACTCTCTATTTGGCATAACCCTACTGTCCTTGGGCCGCCCCTTCCAGAGCAGATACGTGGCTTTGTGAAAGGAGAGGATCTGGGTCACAGTGCAACAGGCACATGGTCAGGGCAGTTTATGAGGCTTGGAAGAGCTCTGCTTCCACTCTTGTGCATCAGTGCCCTGGCATTTCTGCTGTGCAGTAAATCCTTTTTCCATAGAGACGGGCTGTCATCTTGTGTGTTTCTTCTCCAAGTGCCATACTTGAATGCAGGGGTACTTTTTGTTTGGTGCTTGTGCCAGGTGGAATTTGGTAACTTTGTGAATAAATCTTTATTAAGTCATTTTTCTAAGGAAAAAAAAGATCTGTTTGTGACTGATTTGAAGTGTAACAGCAACTGTGCCAAGGCCAGTACCAGCTGGAAAGAGGGGAGATGGCTCCTTTTGCTTAAAGGATATTGAAATCCAGTGGTGCTTGGGAAATGGAATAGCTAGGAGCTATTTCTGCAGTGCCAGCGCCAGCCAGCGCAGGCATGGCGCATTCCATTGTCTGCTGAATATGCCGATCTTAATTGCGATAGCTCGGAGGAGTATGAAATGCCCTAATGCCCTTGCTGTATGTGTGTGGCCCTCTCCGTGACGGGAGCGGCAGAGGCTGCCCTTGCCCTTTACCTCAGGGCTGCTGCAGTCAGCAGCAGTTAATTGCCTTTCTTCTTCGGACTTCAGTATACATTTTTTAGCCTGGATGCCTTCAGCAGGAGAGGAAAAAAGAGTTTGCATGGTTTGGGTTAAGGAATACCGGTGGCAAAACTGAGTGAATTCTCTGAGGGAAGCCTAGGCAGCATGCTGGCCTCTGTCCTGGAGTATCTGTAGGAGATGGTGGCCATTCTGCCCCTGTCAGCCAGGCCTCCACCCATGCCACATGTGTACTGGCAAGGAAATGACAAAGGAAGAAAAGGCTTGTGTGGCCAAAACCCACACCAGAAAACTGTCAACCCAGCAATGGGAGACTACGTATATTCCTCATGCCAGAAATGGGAGGGGAAGGAGCAAACCAGTGCTTGAGGCTTCATGGAGAAACATCAGAGCAATGCTGGTGGCCACCAGCCACTAAAGCTAACTGCAGCCTGATGGATCTCTCCAACATTTGCAGCGTGTGCACACAGTGTTGAGGAGGGTATGATCTCAACATGGACAGCAGCCTCATAATTTCTGCTAGAGCTTCTCCTCTGGAGGGAACTGGGTGGCATGCATGTTGGTGGTGAAGAATGGGGTCCCTTTGTACCTCCCTTTCTCTTCTGAAGAAGGCATATGGTGGGGAAGTGGATACTGTTTTATCCTATGTGCACTGGCGCCTTGCATGCTTGGGCTGAGTTCTTAGCCACTAATGTGGAATAACCTCAGTCACATCATGAAAATGCAGCGTGTCTGGTTCCCTCACCTCCAAAATAGTTCACATATGCTGCCTTAAAAGCTGCTTCAGAATGTACATTAAACTCCGTGAGCTGCCTTATCCAGCCTTCCTGTCTTGCCTTGGAGTGTTGGCTGTTTCAGAGCTGTGAAGACAAGTCCAAGGCAAGGCCAAAAGTCTGATGCTTGACTGGACTTCATCCAAAGTGTCCAAGAGCAGGGCAAAAGCATTTCTCCTTGTGGTTTGGTAGTTAATGTGCTCTAGAGCCATTGTGTGATTGTTGGGTTTGAAAGGGATGTAGGAGGGAAGGAGAGGGAAGTTCTGCTTGAAGTGGTGTGCCACACCAAGGGGACTGCTCAAAGCTGGAGGAGTATGTGATACCCTTCTTCTGGGTCATACAGCATCTTTCCCTTTGGACATTCTGCCTTGTGGAATGACTGTGGGCAGAAGGTGACTTTTGCTTCCCCACCTCAGGAGTTTGCTTTGGAGCTGGGATGGCCACTGTAGAGGAAATGTAGAGTCTGTGAGTTTGTGACATCAGCTGAAGTGTAGACTGGGAACTGTGGATTGCTTTGCCTTCTACAGCCTGTAGGCAGCCTGGCACATAGGGACAGCACTAGATTGCCTCATTGTAGTCCTGATAGGGTGGTAAAAGGGACCTCAACAGCATTTCAGTGTTATTTTGCTGCCAGGTGATTTAGAAGAATCTCTTTTAGGTTGCTGTATCCCTGGCACTAATAACTTCTGAGTCTGTGCCAGGTGTCAGCTCTAATCTCCAACAGCCTCTTCCATGCTCTGAAAGCTTCCAGTTTCTGCTGGAAGTTGTGTTTTCACATTAAAAAAACAAGGCATGTGGAAAAAATGAGAACAGAACTGTTACATCCTGTGTGGTGTTAACCATCAGGATTGTTCACTGCACTATTGATTTCTCCATTTGATCGATTGAAGCTTTATTTGGTGATGTAAATGACTGACTCAGCCCCAGTTTGTTGACTTCCTTACGTGCAGAATGTGCAGTCAGGCTACCCCAGGATAAATTAGATCAAGGATATGAGCTCCCACACCGAGTTAGGGTGTTGTTTGCCAGACACATCACAGTTCATCCCAGACTGTGACTTAAAATTCTTCATATTTGCTGCTTCCCCTTGTTTTCAAGACAGAGTTAAGCATTTTTTGTTGTTCTTCCCCCCCTGCCAGCTGCTCACAAACAAGTTCTAGCTGTTAAGGAGCTTCTGAATATAAAGTACCTGCAAAAATCAACATGCTGGTGCAGCCGCTGCTCAGAAAACGAAGAGCAAAGGCCAGCAGCTCTCTGCATTTTCGCCCTTCCACAGCCTCGGCACAGGCGTTCCGTGCTTGACTCTGCATCTCTGGCACCTGCATGTTGCTCGTGCTTATGCCCGAGGGCTCACACGGAGGGAGGCAAGGCTTTGACGTGGGCTGCCATGCCGGGGTTTCCATGCATGATGGCTTTCACTGGCTAGACTGCTATTCCACACACATGCACGCACAAAAATGTAATTGGGATTACAGAGGCTCAAAACCAGACTGGGAGCCAAAGAGGTCAGACAGCTGGGGAAAAATAGGAGCTGGGGAAAAACTGGGTGATAATCAGTGTGCTGTGTTTATTGCTCTTCAACAGCATATCAAGCTCAAGGCTGTACCCAGTACAGTCCCACTGCTGCTTCCAGCATTGTTTTCCAGAAATTAACTGGGGAAAAAGTTACTGGGAGAATGACAAGAACTTTTGTGTTCTAATAGAGCTGAATAACTAGAGGTGTCTGGGAAAGACAGGTTTGAAGAGTGGATTGAAAACTGCTTTTAATGGGTAAACAAAAAGTGAAATTAAGTTTGGGGGTTTTCTTTTGCTCACCAGGACTGTGAAGAGAAAGAAGTTGGATTGTAACGGGAGCAATGGAGGACAGATGTTAAACATGTTCCACTAGAAATATCGAGGCTCAGGCATGACTTGTGCTGTGCAGCTAAAGCCCAGGTTAGACAAACCTCTAGGGAGTGCTGTGGGTAGGGATGACCTCGTGTTGGAGTTGTGCTGGGTACATGGTCACGTTTGGCTGTCTCGGTGCTTGCAGATGAGTCCGCTGCTTTAACATCTGTTTAGGGGTCAGGTTATCCGGGCCCTGGGGTGATATTCTGGGGGAGCGCTGGAGCAGACCCTGGCAGGCGGTGGGGTGGTCCCGGGGGAGATGAAGCCGTGGGGAAGGGCAGGAAGAGGCCGAGG